GTCAGTGCGGGGGCTGTGAGGAGCAGGGTGCGACCGAGGAAGGGTCTCTCAGAAGCGGGGCGGGGGCCGTTCGTGGTCTGCGGGTCCCCTGGGGGGAGCTGTGAGGTGGAGCCTGTCCCTGCGTGTATTTGTGTCCCGTGCGAGAGTGTTGTCCCCATGACCTATGAATCACGCAGAGGGATCCCTGCCATGCCTCTCTCTCTCCCCCTGCCCCAAGGTTTCCCCAAAGCAGGGGTCTGTGCCTCCATGTCCTGGGGGGCCACGGGGTGTGTGGGTGTGCCCCCACGGGGGAGATGCTCCCACACCAGTAGCCTGTGTATGCCACGTCACAGTCCGTGTGTCCTTGCACATGGGCACATTTGGAGAATCCATGTATGGCTGGAGGGGGGTCCCCGTGACCCTGCACGAGGGGACGGACCCTGCAGGCAGGCCCATCCTCGGCATGCGAGTTGATCCACAGGGAGAGGGTGTCCTTGTCTCCTTACATGTGTGCATGTCCCCGATGCCCATAGGTCCATGCCTGGGGGGATTGTTCCCATGTCCTTGGATGTCTGGATCCTAGGGCTGTCCTCCAGGCATGCAGGTGAAAGGGATGTCCCCGCATGGGTGGGGTGAATGCCCCCAGGCCTGTTAGCATCTCTGGGTGCCCATGGTCTGTTTTTATTTTGGTATGCAAGTGTCTTCAGCCGTTGACTAATGCTCCCTTGCGATCTGCCCACCCAGGCAGCGCCTCAGCATGCTCCTGCCTGTTTGCAGTGCTGGGTTGTGGGGCTTCCTCACAGAGGTGCCAAAGCCAGGAGTCACCAGGTGGCCCCAGGAAGGCCGAAGGACCAGGCTCAGAGGCATTGGAAACTGGTTCTTACTTCTGTACTTTGAAAGGCCTCGAGGTCTGGTATCGATGTTGACCTAAAATCTAGCAGCGTTTCGTTTAACCCTAATACCTGTCTTAACTTGCTGTGTTGGAGTGAGTTTATATGTGAGCCAGTTGCTCCAGGAGCAGGGCGCTGCCATCGATAACCTGTGGTAACTCCAACCAGTGCTCAGGCTGTCGTTGGTTGGACTTCTTGTTGTAACTGGCAATATTCTTCACTGCATAAAGTCCTGGAGCTGTTGTGAGGACGCTGTCACTCACTGTAATTAACAGTGTTGTTCTGCCCTAACAAAGTGTTTCTCAGATTGGATGCAGACTTCGCCAGGGCAGTCCAAAAAGCATAGAGAAGGCAGCAAGCAGGCAGAAGATGTTGTGAGCTCGAGAGCTGGCCGTACCTGCTGAGCCACATGCCGTGTGCTAGCAGGTTCCCAGAGGCGACAGGAAAGCTCAGTTTGTCAAAAGTTTCCCGGCTCGCAGTTCGGCACTCTGTGCCATCAGCTCGCAGGTACATGCTGAAAGCGTGGGAGGTTGTCATCCTGAGCTTCAGCTCGTTCGCTCCGCTGGTGCTTGGAGTCCAGGACTGCAAGAAGGCTTTCCTCCTGAATCATCCATGGATGCTGTTCCCACTTCAAGTGGCCTGCCGCATCCGGGTGAGCGGAAGGTGGGAAGGGGAAGTGCTGGACAGGGAAGCAGCAGAGGAAATGACAGAGAAAAGAGAAAGTGGGAAGAAACAGGTCTCGGCTGGTCTGTGTGAAAGGGGTGTTCTTCGTTCTCGGCAAAGTCCTGAGAGCAACTGTCTGAAGTGTTGGTGTCTCTGTCTCTAGATGGTCTTTTAATTGGAGTGAGTGAAGTAGTATTGCAAATGGAATCGATATTCAAGGCTTTTAATTCTAGAGTGAATGCTAGTGAAATGGCATCAGTGTACATCTGGCCTGCTGCTGCTTCCTTCAGCATTTTGAAGGAGGATTTTCTTCGGGCTCCGATCTTGGCAAGTTACCGTCATACTGCTGAATGAATCCACTCCTAAAGCAGATGTGCTGTGACTGTGACCAAGTAAATGTGCTTTTAGTTTTAGATATGTTTTCCACAAGTATTCTGGGGCTCTAACACAAAATGCTGTCAGGCTAAAGAAACCTCACTCAAATATTAAGCAGCTGTTGCTCTAAGACAGTGTCTTTCCCGAAAGAATTTATATTAAAATGTAGTGAGATTTGTTGAGTCGTGCCCTTGATATTTTTTTTCTCCTACTTCAGTATCTTTTGTTTTGCTAGAACTGAAAGGCTAAGTGGAATTCAGAGTTTACGGTTTTCATGGAAGCAGCCTGTTTGGGAACTGATGTGAAAGAGAAAAGCATATTAGATCATAGAAAGAGAAACAAGTTAATTATTCCATTCACTTTTTATTTTTAATTGAGATTGCATGTTTTGCGTGCAACTTGGTGTTTGCTACATAGTCAGTGTTTAGCTTTTGCTAAGTGTTGGAGAGAGATGTGCTGCTTACCTTCCCACATCCCAGCCTTAGCAGACGCCGGACTGAGGGTGTGGAAGGAAAACATTATCACTTGCCTCACAGCTGAGACTTGTTTGGTCTAATTCTCCTTCCTGCTGGGCCTAGCCATGTGCAGCAATACAGAATTGAAGTGAATTAATTCAGTAAGATAGTTTAGTCCTTGCCTTCTTTCTAAAGTAGCGGAGCTGTGTGGCTTTTATCGAGTTAAAATACTTCCACTGAAAGTGCATGATATTCTGTTGAGCAGCATCTGTTAGCAGAGAAATTGTTGTCAGACCACGCTTAGTTTAGTGGGAAATGAGCATTGGCGTTTAGTTTCAGGAGTACCTGACTTCAGCGCACAAAAAGTTTAGGGAAATTAAAGTTGGCTACAGCAATCACAGCCTGGGTATTATCCTAGTCCAAAAGTACTTTAAAGTAGCTTTGGAGTGGAAACCAGTTTGCTCTTTGTTTATAAATTGGTGGTGTTGGGCACATGACACACACGCACAGACCTGTCTGCCGGGACAGACTGACACTGAATTTCCATCCCCACAGCGTCGCACCGTGTCTCCTGGGCTCGGGGAATGGAGCGCAAAGGTCAGTCCCTGCTGCCAGTGCCGGAGACAAAGTGGAAAAAAAAAAGAGTGGAAAGAGGGCCAAAGTGCAGCAAGGCTCCAGTCCTGAGCCCCTGTCACGGGGTTGCAGGCCCAGGGACACATGTGTTGGTGAGGTGTAGGCTGAGGTTTTAACCTTGTTTTTTCCCTCTACTGGCTTTTGTGCCTTCTTGTTGCTGGGAATGTTCATTCCTGAACATTTTATCAGCGCTGGGCAGTAAACCTCCCCTAGCTAAATGGCTCTGTTCCAACTGATAGACGTGTATACGGTGCTTAAGAAGTAATGCTTTTACTAGATTTCAGACTTAAAGCAGCTTTGGCAGTGATTCGGCCTAGATCTGCGTTAGAGGATCCTCTCGGTCAAGATCAAGGTCACTTAAATAGAACTGAGATTCATTCATGTAGATTCATTCATCAGGCCAAATTCATTAGGCCAAATACAGTTTCTCAGCAGG